TAATTTTTATTAAATATGATTTGGTTAGCCAATTTTGCATCGTTATAAAGCAAAAATCGATTTATGGTAGTTCAGTTTATCGAGGTTTGACTGTACTTCTAATTTTGGATCATTTTTATAGAGACTTCCACTCCATAACACTTTATGTTTGAACTTTGAAAAAGTATACAATGATGATGGAAATCTTTGGTTGGATGATGGTAGTGAATGTAAAAGTGATAATTTTTGGTAGGATGATGATGATACTGTAGATGATGATTCTGTGTATGATGAATATGAAAGACAAGAAGGCAATGACGATTCTTCATACTTGAAATTTTCACAATTCCTTGATTGATGGTGCATAAAACTAGAGATAGGTTTTAAATCAGATCAATGTAAAGCATAACACTAAGCAATAAGAATTATAACCAACCTTGATGTTTTACTGACTAATGAATTGCCAATAATTTCATCTAAGGATTTTGGTTTCTGTGAATAATCACAGATTAAATCATTATCAGGATCTGAAAAAATATTATCATCATCATCTAAAACTTCCAATATTTGTGAAGAAGACTTATGAGCATGATTACTTTTTTTAGTGATTTCATCTAAAGATTTGGATTTTTGTGAAGATTTATAGATGAAACTATTGTCAAAATCTTGCAAAACATTATTATAATCTTCATTTAAAATTTCCAACCTTTGAGAAGACTTATGAGTATTTTTGGTAATTTGACATTTCTGTGAAAATTTATAGATGAAACTATTGTCAAGATCTGGAAAAATAGTATTATCATCATCTAAAACATCCAATCTTTGTGAAGAAGGCTTATGAGGGTGATTACTTTTTTTAGCAATTTGACTTGAATATTTTAATTTTTGTGAAACTTTTGGGAGAAATTATCATCAAGATGTGGTAAAATATTATTACTATCATCTGAAACTTCTGATCTTTGTGGAGATTTATAATAATCATCAAGATTTGGTAGAATATTGTTAGTAGTTGTTTGTTTAAGAATAGATTCAGTTTTTTTTGTTAATCTAGCTGATACTATGATCATTATTAGAGGTTGCTGCATTTAGTTGTAGTTGTTTTTGCAGGTGCTCTATATTTCCTGTCATTGTTAAAAAATAATATATCTTGTTCCAGGACCTTTTTAAATGATCTTAGTTTTCCAAGTAATGTTGGAATTATCTGTTAATATATGAAGATGTTGTATGTGAAATTGAAACTATGTGAAATTGAAATTTATAATTAAAATTTTGGGGTAGGGTGTTTGGATATGAAATTCTGATTAGCTAATTTGAATTTCACATATATGTCACATAGATTTCATTTACACACACAAGACAAAAAATATGTCAACATAATATAAAATATTTAATGTATAATATTAATAAGAGTAAAGATGTTTGTATTTATATACATACTTCTCCACCTTGTCAAATAATTTATTACACCACCAATAATTCTCATGTCCAATATTTTTACAACATCATTCTTGTCCCCTATTGTGATTTATTTTTACCAAGAAAGACAATTTTTTTTTTTTGATGTTGTATGTGAAAATGAAATTATGTGAATTTGCAATTCACATATGTGGAATTCAAATTTACATATGTGAAATTCAAATTAGCCAATCAGAATTTCACCCCATTCCATAATATTTCAAATTCACATAATTTCAAATTCGCATACAACATCCACCAATTAAAATACGCTCTCCCACATTTAATCGGTGACATTATAAAAATAATGAGATATTTTAAAAAAACTTCATGTGACACGAATTAGAAATTTTTTTTTTTTAATATAGAAATAATTTGAAAGGACGTGTCACACGACTAGTATATACTCACTGAATTTCATAGACGGATCATCAATTAATATTATTAATATTAATTAATAATTAAATTAAAATTCGGTTTAAAATCTAGTTAAGAATTAATTAAAATCCAGTTAAAGGTTTCTGATCAAAAATAAAGTGATATTCGAATATTCATAATTATTATTATTATCACTCGATATTCGAATATCTGAAATACTTATGACTATTCGAAATACTTGAAACATTTACTTATGGTTATTCGAAATTCCATCCATTACCGAAAATCATCTGATGTACTTGAATATTCATACTTCTTTTTGGGTATTTGATTATTCGAAAAAGGGGGATTAATGATCGGAAGTTAATAATTAGTTAGATCTAATTAGTGCTTGGTTAAATAATTTAACCAAGACCTATGTAAAAATTCTATTTAATGATTAGCTAAGTTCCATTTAATAATCTTCCATTATTTAATATTATTTATAACCATCTAATAG